GGCATTCCCTGGATTTGTTATCCCTGTTCCAGCTGTAGTGGTAAGACACTGGGGGTTCCAGAGCCTCAGTTCTGCTGGAAAAACACCTGGATTTGTCAAAGTTCTCCTTGGAATGCAGAGAGATCCCTGGAGTAAATTCCTGGAATACATTCCTGGATGCACCCAGGACTGGAGCAGGAAATGAGCTCCTCACCAGGACTGAGAATTCCTTCCTGGGGCGCTGGGAATTTCCCCTGGAATTCCACCTTAGCTCTGGATCCCCATCCCCACCTCTTGCTGCTCTCCTGCAGTTCTGGGCTCCTGTCTCCATCCGGGGAATCCGGTGGGAATTCCAGCTGGGAGGGGCCCCAGCCCTCCCCGTCGTCGCTGTCGGGATCCAGGTTGGGATCGAACGCCTGCTCGCTCCTGCGGAACTTCTCCAGCAGCGCCGACACCGACTGCAACACAGGAACCCTGCCTGGATCAGGAATTCCTGCCCGGATCGGGAATCCCCCCGCCTGGATCGGGAATTCCCACCCACGTCAGGAATCCCCAGCTTGGCTCAGGAATCTAGACCAGGAATTCCGCCTTGATCAGGAATTCCGCCTTGATCAGGAATTCCCCCCTGGATCAGGAATTCCCACCCACCTCGTTGTGGGTCTCCTCATCCCACTTGGTGAACTGGAATCCGGCCAGGGAGGAGCAGATCCGGCGTTTTTCCAGGCACGGGGCCAGCAGGGCTGCAGAGAGGTGGGATACAGGGGAATTCCTGGGATACCAGCAGGAATCCCCACCCGGCTCAGGAATCCCCAGCCTGGCTCAGGACCTCAAACCCCCACAATTCCCAGTTTTCCAGAAGCCTGAGCGGGATCTGAGCAGCAAAGAAAGACCCGGGAAGAGAAGCTGGATAAGGGCAGGAAAAGCATGGGAAAAGCTGGAAAAGGCAGCGGGGAGAAAAAAGGCGGGGGGGGGAAGAAAAAGGAGACAGGGGGGACAAAAGAGGAAGGGAAAGCCAGCAGGGATTCACCTTTGAGCCCGGCCACAGGGACAGGGTCGGAGCTGGGCAGGGCCAGGCTCTCCGAGGAGGACAGCGGGACAATCTCCGAGTGGAAAAGGAGGCGGCTCTGGAAGCTCTGGGAGCGCAGCCCTGTCAGGAAAATCCCAGCAGTGCTGCACTCGTCAAAGGAGGCGGCTGCTCTCTGGAACATGGGATCCACCTGGAAATCCGGGAATGGGAATTTGGGAATGGGGATGGGAATCCGGGAATGGGAATTTGGGAATGGGAATTGGAGAAAGTGGATGAGGGAGTCGGGGAATGGGGGAATCTGGGAACGGAGAGGGGAATCTGGGAATCGGGGAACGCCGGGGATGGAGAAGGGCAGGGAGGGCTCTGATCCCGAGGGACAACGATCCCCACGTGTCCTCCCCACCCCTGGGAGTGTCCCAGGCCAGGCTGGAGCAGCCTGGCAGAGTGGGAAGTGCTGGAATAGGATGAGCTGAGGGGTCCCTTCCAAGCCAAGGTATTCCAGGATTCCAAGTGCTGGATTTTTCCCTCTCTGCTCCTGGATCATCCCTGGGAGTATTCCAGTCTGGGATACTAGGAGCTGTTCCTGCCCATGGGAAGGCTGATCCATCCCAAACTGGAATTCTGGGATCGGAGGATAAACAAGGACAGGAGGGCTCTGCTGTCACAGGGGGATCCCAGGATTTGACCCAGTCCCAATCCCAGCCAGCCCTGGAGGGAAGATAAACTACAGGAGGTATCAACCCAGAGGAGAGGGATGGAATTCCTGCAGCTCCTCCCTGGCAAATCCATCCCTGGGAATGTCCCAGGCTGGGCTGGAGTGGACTGGGATGGTGACCTTGACTGGGATTTAAGGCCCTTCCACCCCAAACCATTCCAGGATCCTTTTCCCAGCCTGAACTCCCACACTGGTGGCTCTGAGAAGCCAGGGGAATGGAAAAGCAGGAACACAGGGATGGGGAGGATGAGGAGGATGGGGAGGAAGCCGAGCTCACCTCGTGCCTGCGATTGGCCTCGGACACGTTGATGTTGCTCAGGTTCTGCTCGATGGTTTTGAAGCTTTGCTTCTTCTTTGGCTTTGCTTCTTTCCTGGCAGCCTCAGGGCCCGGGCTGGAGCCTGGCATGGGCAAATGGACAAATCCCACCTCAAACTATGGGCTGGAATATCCCAAAGGTGGGAGAAAACCTGGAATCTGTACAACAAACTGCAGCGGGTTGGAATTCCTCAGGAGGGATCAGCTGGGATGAGCAATGTCTTGGTGGCTTTTTATGGATTCTGCTGGGCAAAAATCTGCCCCTGGCTGATCCCAAACTTTTCCTATTTAATCCCAAACTGCTCTTGCTTGGTCCCAAACTACTCCTGTTTGATCCTAAACTTCTCTTATCTAATTCCAAACCGCTCCCATTTGATCCCAAACTTCTCCTATCTAATCCCAAGATGCCCCTGTTTGATCCCAAACTGAAACCTGAAATCATTGAGCAACAGATCCAGCTCCTCCTCCCATCTCTCCCTGTTCCAGCATCCCAGGAAAACGAACCTGGAATCTCCTACCCCTTGGGAGAATTCAATTAATCCCAGATCTCCTTGAAACTCCCAACTCCAAAAGCGCGCTGAGGCTCCTACCACTGCCGGGTGGGAAATGAGGGAATTTCCCGGGATTTGGGAGAGGAAAAGAGGGAATTCCCACCTTCCTCGGGGCTGTCCAGGTCCCTGGCAGGGGGGTGCTCCTTGCCCAGGTGGCTCAGGACCTTGAAGGCGTCAGCGTGGACAGAATCCACGCGCACGGCGTAGATCTTGGCGCTGGCATCCAGAGTCCCAGCTGCCATCTGCAGAGGAACAGGGAAAATTCTCACCTGGAGCATCCCAGAGCTGATTTCCCAAGGAAAATCATGGATAACAGGGTTATTGTGAAAGCTATGGATCCCCCCCAAAGGGGTGTTTTGCCCACAGCTTGCTTTTATTTTTTTTTCTGGGATCGCAGCTAAAAATCCTTTTGGAATTGATGAGTTCAGCCATGTGGAGAAGCAGAAAGGGGAGTGTTTGGTCGGCCAGGACCTCTCCTTCCTCAGGGTCACCCCCTTGGGTTCATCCTGTTTTCCCAAAGCAGGAAGAGGTGAAGGGAGTGAAATTCCAAGGGCCTTTTCCAAGCCCAGATCCCACCAGGAAGGCCAAGTCCCCCCCAGTGACACTCAGAGCTCCTTTTCCCATCCTTACCTCAGGAGCTCCTGGGAGCCACATCCCAAACTCCTGCCCCTGCTCATCCATGCAAGAATCCACCTCTCTCTCCCAGCAATTCCTGGAATGCTTTTTCCTGGCAAGTTCTTGGATCAGAACCAGCCCAGCACCACCTCCCTTCCTTTCCCAGCCTCATTTTTACTTCTGAGGCTTCCCAAATCCTACTTTGAACCTTTTTTAAACACCACAACTGGGAGCATTCAGCCTTTCAAGGCCTCGGTGCTTCTGATTCCTGCTGCCTCTCCCAGGGGGGTTTGGTGGCAGCATTGGAGGTTTCACATTAATTAATCCCAGCGTTAATTGGAGGTGGAAACAAATGAGCAGGAGGAAACCCTCTGACCTGGAAGTTGGTGAGCTCCGAGTTCTTCTGCTTCAGGATGTCAGTCATGTAATCGATCAGGTGCAGCCCAAAGGCGTTTTTGGTGGTGATTTTCTGCAACAAAGCAACAGCTAGGAACCCTTCCCCTGGCCAGGGCCACCCTGGGGACCCAGAGGACAGCAACACCAGCCTGGCCGTGGCCACAGCTTCCTCTTGGCAGAGGAATGGGGAGAGGCTAGAGAGATGGGCAGAGAATTGTCTGTAATTCAACAGAGAATCGCTTGATTCAAACTAATTCAAACTCAGGCAGGTCCTGCAGTTGGGGAGGGCCAGCCCTGGACACTGGCACAGGCTGGAGAAGGAGCTGAGGGACAACAAAGTGTCCCTGACTAGCAGAGTGTCCTTGGGACAAGGCCACCAGGGATCACCAGGAAGAGCATTCCCAGCAGGTCAGGGAGTGATCCAGCCCTAGGGGTGCTGTGTCCAGCTCTGGGATCATCAGGACAGGAGGGACAAGGAGCTCCAGACGAGGAGGACAAAGATGAGGGATCTGGAGCATCTCATCCCTGATGATCAAAAGCTGAGGGAGCTGGGGCTGGGCAGAGAGGGGACCTCAGCCCTAAATATCCGAGGGGGAATGTGGGACGATGCATCCAGGTTCTGCTCCACGGGGCCCAGCCATGGGACGAAAGGAACGGGCAGGAACTAGGAAATCCTACAGGAACTTTTCCTGGGATTGCCCAGAGATACCCCAAAACCACGTGGGCAGAACCCATGTGCTGTGGGACGGGCCAGCTGGGACCAGACACCTTTTATGGTCCTTTAACCTTTATGGTCCCTTAACCTGCCCCATCCCGAAGTGTTTCCAACCCCGCCCAAACCGCGCTGAGGGGGTTTTAAACCCTGCAGGGCCCAAACGCGGCAGCCCCGACTCACATTCTCGGTGGAGAGCTTGATGCAGGTGCTGTAGTGCTCCGAGATCTGCGCATTGCTCCACTGGGACAGCGGCGGCTGCCAGCCCTCGGGCCTGCGGGACACAGCGGGGTCAGCAACCGAGCCCCTCAGCCCCGACCCAGCGGTGTCGGTGACCGCGTTCCCCTCGGCCCGTGCCCAGCGGTGTCGGTGCCCGGGCTCCTCCTCAGCCCTAGCCCAGTGGTGTCGGTTACCAGGTTTCCCCCTGTCATGTCAGGCCCTTCGCACCGGCTCTACCTGAGCGAGGGTGAGCCGAGGCCCTGCAGCGATGAGTCCACGGCCCTGGAGCGGCGGCGCTGGCGCCTCTCACTCTCATCGTCATTGCCGGGGCACTCAGCGAGCACAGGGGTGCCGGTACTGCCGAGGGCTCGGGGGGTTGGCGAGAGCAAGGAGGAAGCAGCGGCGGCGGCTGCAGCAGCGCGGGGAGTGCGGGCAGCCATGGCTGCGGCTCGGCGCCGCGCTGAGGGGGAGCCCGCCCTCCAGGAAGCCACGCCCCCTCTGCACCTTCTCCCCAATCAGCTCGCGGGGTGCCAGCCTGGCAGCCAATCAGCGTGCGGCGCTCCCGCCCCCGAGGCGGGTTTGAACGGCGGCGCGCGCTCGGTAACGGCCGTGGGGGTGGGCGCTGCGCGAGAGGAGAGGAGAGGAGACCCGCCCCCGAGGCGGGTTTGAACGGCGGCGCGCGCTCGGTAACGGCCGTGGGGGTGGGTGGGGGGGGGGTGCTGCGCTCGAGGAGAGGGCAGGGCGGCCTCGCCATTCCCGGAATTCCCCCAATTCCCCCATTCCTGCAATTCCTGGCTCTGGGATGGGACCGGAGCGGGGTCAGCAGCCTCCGGTGCAGCCCCGGAACCCGCCGGGAGGGGATGGAAAGGGGTGATATCGCCATTTCCCCGGCCCTGGGAAGGGACCGGAGCGGGATCAGCGGCCGTCGGTGCAGCCCCGGGAGGAGGAGGAGCCGCTGGAGCAGCGGCGCTTATCCCGGAATCCTGGAATCAGTAAGGCTGTAATCTTTGGGATCACCGAGTCCAAGCTAGGCCCGATCCCTATCTTAGCGCTGAGTGCAACCTGTAGGCCTTCCCCGGGCCCCTCCAGGTGTAATTCCCACGTTCCCTGTGTCTCTCCAGGTGTGTTCCCGCATTCCCACTGAGACGAACGTTGAATTTGTCTTTACAAATGAGCTGTGGATCTGCTTGTAGATAAGGCTAGCACTGAGAGATAAAATAAACAATGGGATGGATTCCACTGATTGATGAATGGAAAAAGATATTTGCCTTTACAAACAAACTGTATATCGAAAGATGAAAGAAGCAACGGGGGAAAAACTATGAATTCTATAGGAATTAAAAATTAAAAGGGAGGGTTATACATTAGAGGGGAATTTCAGGTATCAGGGGTTCCGGGAAGTCTGTGCCTCTCGAGTACCTCAGCCAGTGGGGAAAGAGAGAGGGAAATTGGGATAAAAAGGAGGCTGCATCCTCCAAAAATTTGAGAGATCCCAGGGGAATGTCCCATGGTCTCTCCCTTTATTCGAATAAAGCAAAAAGGAGTCCTCTGTCTCCTTTTTGGACGTAAACCTCTGGTGTTTGTGGATTAATTTTCCTGACCAGTGCAACCTGCAGGCCTTCCCCGGACCCTCCAGGTGTGGGCCGGTATACCCCGTGCCTCTCCAGGTGTGTTCTCACATTCCCCCTGTTCCCCCGTGTCTCTCCAGGTGTAATTCCCACGTTCCCCGTATCTCTCTAGGTGTGTTCCCACATTCCCTGTGACCCTCACCTGGCTCCAGGTGCCCGATGCCGGGCAGAGGGGACACCCCTGGGAGAACCTGAGCTCTGTGCCTGAGGCAAAACTCCACCGAGAAGGAAATAAATCCCTGGCTTTTCCTTCTGGAGCATCCCTTGTGCTCTGGAAACTCTAGGAAAAATTTGGGATGACCTGGATGTGCCGGATCCGTCCCCAAAGCTTGGGAATTCCACTGCATTTCGAAGTTTGGGAAGAGGAACTTGAATCCACCCAGAGTAGGAGCTTTTCCAGCATTTCCAGGCCAGCATTCCCGGCTGAATCCTTGGATTTAGGGATGATGCCGCCGTTTTTCCCGGCAGCTTTTCCCGGCTGAGCCGCTGGATGGAGCAGGAGGAAAAGCCATGGATTGCTCACGGGAACTCAGGAATGATTCCCAGGATTTCCCCTCCCTGCATGGAGCAGCCGAGGGATCACAGAATCATGGAATCCTTGAGCTTGGAAAACACCTTCGGGATATCAAACCCGAGCTCCAGCGCGGGATGGAGCCGCGGGATCTCCCAAGGGGGAAAATCTGGATTTAGGGAATGGGGGTTTTCCCATCCAGGATATTCCAGGCTCCTGGGAAGGGCCGATCCAAGGAAACGCCACTCCCTGGGAGTGCCCAGCCCTGTCCGGGGGACGGGAGTGGCAGTCGGGTTTTCATAGAACCCCTTCCAAACACAACTATATTTTTCAAAGGAAGAAAATCCTGTTTTTCCTAAGGAATACATGGATTTAGAGGCGGTCCTTAATCCTCGAATCCCAGTTGTATTTTGGTTCCACCCGTCCCTCCAGGCTCGATTCCTGCGCCAGGAGGGAGCCGGAGGGATCTATGCTCTGCCTCCATCCAACCCCAAAAATGGCAAAGGAATCAAGGCTTGGAGCCCTGAATCTCCTCGGAAGAGCAGCCTGGAATCTCCTTGGAAGATTCCGAGCACCCGGGAGACTCTGGACAATTCCCAAACGTCAAGGATCTGAAACACTTTTTTTTTTTTTTTTCTGTCCCCCTGATAATCTGGGGGCAGAGCAATGGGGTCAGTCTTTTCCCTCGGCTGCTCCAGGAGAAGCTGGAAAATCCCCGGCTGAGTTTGGGATGTGTTTTCCCGGGAGCAGCCCCCGCTTTCCGTGGCTGCAGTAAACAAATCAATCTCTGCATCCCGGAGGAGACTCCCAGGAACTCGGATGGATTTTATGCCCAAATAAATCATTCCTGCCCTGGCAACCTCGCTGGATTTTTCCCCGGCATCAGCAGTGCCGGCGAGGGCAGAAGCATTCCCGGATGGAAGCGGGAATTGAGGGAATGGATCACTGTGACAGCAACGCTGCAAATGGCTTTGATTCCTTCCCGGCTCCATAAATCCCTGCCAGGACTCGGGAAAGCTTCGGTTTCGAGCTCCCCACATTCCAGAAGGGTTTGCATTCCTGAAATCCCCGGGATTGGGGTGTGGGGATGCTCCTGGATGCAGGGAGAAGTTTCCTTCGGGAGCTGGGAAGGAGGAATTGGGAGCAGGAGGTGCTGGGACTTTTCCAGCAGGGCTCGGGATGGGTTTGGGAGGATTTGAGACACTGGGATGTGGGAAATTTGGGAAAAGGGGAGGAAATGGGGATTGGAAACCTGACTGGGAATGGGCAGGGAATGACCACGGAATGGGAAGGGAAACCCAGCTCTGGGACCAACTGTCTTCACTGCCCCATTCCCAGTCGGCCTCTGCCTGTTCTGTGGTCATGCCCTGCCCCATTCTATGGTCATTCCCTGCCCATTCCCAGTCCATGCCCTGCCCCACCCCTGCCCCATTCTGTGGTCATTCCCTGCCCATTCCCGGTTCATTCCCTGAATGGAAGCCTGGCAAAAGCCTTGGATTTGGGATTTCAGGGCATTCTCCCCCTGCTTTCCCCTTCCAGGTTGGTGTCCATCCCCTCTGGCTGCGGCTCGGGTGCCTCATTCGGAGCTGGAGGTGCAGGCAACGCTCGGGAGAGGGAAATGGGCTGGATCTCTCCAAGATTTTATTGGGAAGCTCTGCCGTGCCTGGCTGCTGCACACAGCTCACATCCAGCTGGGATGGATTCTTTTCCCTTTAGTGGGAATGCTCTGGAAGAGGCTGGAGCATGACAGAGCTCAGGATAACCCCAGTCCCTTCTCGTGCCCCTGGGAATGGCCCCAGTCCCTTCTCGTGCCCCTGGGAATGGCCCCAGTCCCTTCTCGTGCCCCTGGGAATAGCCCCAGTCCCTTCTCGTGCCCCTGGGAGTGGTCCCAATCCCTTCTCTTGTCCCTGGGAATGGTCCCAATCCCTTCTCCTGCCCCTCATTCCCAATAAGCAATGAGAATCTGACCTTTGGTGCTCCCATTCCCTGTGTTTTATCCCCAATTCTCATGCCACAAATCCCAGGATTTCCTGGATTTTTGTTGCCATGTCCAACCTGGCCTTGGACACTCCCAGTGATGTAGGGGCAGCTACAGCTACTCTGGGAATTCCATCTCAGCCCCTCAGGGAGGGATTTCTTCCCAAAAAATCCTGGCTGAAGCGTGGATCCCCCCAGGATTCCATAAATCCTCCTCCAATCCCTCCCTGCCCATCCAGTGGCTCCAATGAATAATTGATTTCTAATTAAGCCCATTGGAGCATCCTGTGGAAGCAATTCCCTCTCTCCCCTTTTCCCTTCCTTGCCTCTGGAATTCCCGATGCCCAGGAGGTTCCTCAGCCCTGGAAACACCAAATCCATTTGAATTTCTCATTTCCCACCTCAAAATTTCCACCCAGCCCAGCTTGGTTCCCAATTGCTGCTCAGAGCTCAGCAATTACCGAGGTAATTAACACTAATTACTGCTGGGAACAAGCTGGAATTCTCCACCCTCCAGGAACCCCCAAATCTGCCGGAATCTGCCCCAAAATGAAACTGGGAATTCCTGAAAATCATTAATTCACTTTCATCCGGATGTTTTGGACCCAAATCATTCCTCCCTGAGCTCTGATTTTTTTGGGAAGCATCCCCAAGCCCCCCGGCTGCCATGGAAACAGCAGGATCCACCCCGGGAGCCATGAGCTGCCTTCAATTCCTGCTTTTTTATTTTTAATTTTCCAGTATATTTTGGACTGGGCATTAAGCAAACATTTATGCAAAACGCTGGAATGCATCCATGGTAATGAGGCTGAACTGGAGCGGGAATTCAGTGGGATGGGCTCGATCTAAGCTGCAGATCCCGCTTGGAAAGCACCAATAATGACAAAACTTGGGGGTTTTTGGGGTCACCTCCTGATTTTGGGGCGTTTCCCAAGGAATTGGAGATGGAGGGATAACCCAAAGCCCCAGGAATGTGGAATTCCCTTTCCTTGTGTGGCTGACTGGGGTTTTTGTTCCCAATAAAGGCTCGCTTTCATTTTATGGAGTGGGAGTGAAATTCCCCATTAGGGACAGCCCTGGAAAGGGGATGGGATGATCCCGATGGATCCGTGGGGATCTGAATCTGTCTGGGATGGGATGATCTCAGTGGATCCATGGGGATCTGAATCCATCTGGGAAGAGATGATCCTGATGAAGGAGATGGCTCTGTTGGGATTTGAATCCTTCTGGGAAGGGATGATCCCAATAGATTTGTGGGGATCTGAATCCCACTGGGAAGGGATGATCCTGACAGATCTGTGGGGATCTGAATCCTGCCAGGAAG